TATTTGGCCCACAATGCATACGTTTTCTAAGTATGATGCACCAGTAGTGTTGCTCTGAGTATTGAATCGTAGTAGTATATGGTGAGGCCTTGTTGGATGTCAGTCATGTGATCATGTGCTTCTGTATGTATGCGTCTGTACTTTCAGATGAAGGGCGCAACAGACGTACAGTACAGGTTATTCGCAATAATAATAAGAAACAGGGGAGGAATATATCGGCAGGCACACCGGAAGGAGGGAGAGCGTGTGGGTGTACCCTACATTAAAGGAAAACGATTGGAGCCTGTGCGCCGGCTGAACTTTGCGCCGGCTCGCGGGCCACGCTGGCTCACACGAACACGCAAACAACCACCCCGCGTGAGACGTGTATATGGTGGGTCCCGCACGACTTTTCCTTTTCTTCCTCCTCCAGCCCATCCATCGCAGCTCTGCTCCTCCACACAGCCTTCCCAGGCTGCTCGCAACCTCCAGAAGCTCTCATCGGCGGCGAGTGCTCGCGTGCGACGGCGCGCAACACCGCCCCTCCTTCATGGCCGGCGAGCCCCTCTGCCATCCTCCTCCTCAATTTGTATCCCCGCTAGCTCCCCGCGGCCATGGCCGTCTACACCCCTCAGATCTCAGCCATGGCCTCCGCCCAACTACAACTTCGAGTCCCCGCCGGTGAAGCTACGGAAGCATCTATCGGGGTGCTGCAACCAGAGCTGTAAGCCTACAACCACAGGGCACACGCTGGACGGCGAGGACGGGGCGGCGCTGCTCCTAGCAAAAAACTAATGTCGCAATTTTTGCTAAATGCTTCAACCGGCATAACATTTTGCTACAACCGACATCGCATTTTGCTACAACCGTCGTCACGTTTTGCTACAACACATAGCCGGTGTCGCAGTTTTGCTACAACTAGCGTCACTTTTTGCTACATCCGGCATCACGTTTTGCTGCATCCATCACGACCGAGTTATGACCCGCGACGGCGGCGATGACAATTTTGCGGCAAGCGTCGTAGTTTTTTGCTACAACCGACAGCACGTTTTGCGACATCCATTCTTTTTCTAGAACGCAATGGCTGCTACGTGCAACGACGAGCTACAAACAGCGACGACGGTGACAGACTTTTTTGCTGCAACCGTTTTCCCCGTTTGCTACGACCGTGCAATAGAAAGCTGCAACGGGCGCCATGGGAGCCACATGCCAGCGGCAACGGCAAACGTCGAGCTGCAACCGGCGGCAACAAGAGCTGCATCCAGCGGAGCTGCAACCGGCGACTGGTGTTGCCGGAGCCACGGCCATCACCAGCGAGGCGGAGCTGCAACCCACAGGCGAAGTTTTTGCTGCATGCGTGGATCTGGACGACGGCGACCGGCGGCGAGTGCGGCATCCAGCAGCACGGGAGTGGCGGAGAGAGGGGTTGTAGATGAGGGGGTAGCGGCCGGCGGGCCAGGGGCAGCCAGGAGACAGGGAGCCGCGCTCGCGCTGCGCGCGGAGAGGATGAAGGAGAGAGAGAAGTCAACGCACAGATCGGACGGTTGCTCGCTGGATCGGGTGGCTGGGGTTGGACCGGCCGAACCGTTTCGGCCGGTGCGCCGGCGCCTAACATCGCCCTACATTAAATGGTATGCACGTCTGGACGTACGTACGTACACGGGGAGTGGTTGCGATGAATTGTCACGACGTACATACGTGTCTGGGAAGAAGTGACCGCTCGACCGAGAGAGAGGCGAGGCAGGGACCAGCGGCAGGTTGTTCATTTTGGCACCACGTCTCCACCGTCACATATGCCTGATGCCTGTGCACGCCGGGTGGACCACGTCTCCACCGTCACATATTAGAGTTAGTATGTACGTGTTGGTGCTGGAGCAGTGTTTGGTTTCTGCTGCAGTAAGAGCAACGGGTCGACCAAACAGACGCTGACTATGTCCGTTTTTTTTTGTTCATTTGGATCGATCAGGCAGACACAGACGTTTGTTTTTACATTTAGGTCGGCGTCTGCGCCTAACGCTCGTCCGATCCATTTTGACCACGCCGATACTGTGCATGCATATTTAAAATAAAAATAACTTAATTAAATATTAGAGCCGACTGGAAAGGTCGGCGAGAGTCCATGCGCCCACATTAGTATTAAAAGAAATTAAAAACAAATTAAACTACGAGGTGGCGCGCTGCCCTAGGCGGTGGCGGCGTCGTCGTCCTCGGGGTCGGTGAGCGATGAGTGTCGGCGCAGGGCCGGCCCAAGGGAATGCCGGGTTCCAGGCGGCGGCGATGTAGGCCGCAGGCAGCTGTTCCGGCACGGGCAGTGCCGGCGCAGGGGGCTGTGCGGCCGCAGCCTGGCGCGCCTTCTCCTCAGCCTCGCGCTGCTCCTCCTCGAGGTCGCGCTCGAGCATCTCCTCGTACTCGCCGTGACGGCGCTCCTCGGCCAGCCGTCGCTGGCGCCACATCTCGAGGTACGCCACCTCCTACATCGATGTCGTCCCCATCCAAACCGGTGACTCGGACACCCACTCACGCAGTATTCCCGTCCAGGAGTAGTGCTCGATGGGGGATGGGGTTCCGGCTGCGGCTTCAGGTCGGCCTTGACGCGGCGTCGGGGAGGGGACGGCGGGGCCACCGGCGGCAGCACGCAGTCGCCGGCCGCGGAGAGGGCAATGGCCTGCGCCATGGCCGCCTCATACCGAGCCTCCTCTTCCTTCATCGCCTCCACCCTGCACTGCTCGTCCTCCTCGCTCTCGCGGTAGACCACCGCAAGGGCCGCCTGGTAGGCGTCCTCCGTCGCCTGGTCCTCCTCGCGGATGATGAACGGGGGCGGCGGCACGCTGCGGTCGACCTCGCGCACGCCGCGTCGCCTCGCCTCCTCGTGCTCGAAGGCGAACCACCTCTTTCAGTTCGGCGAGTCGGATGCGTAGATGGCGTCACGGCGCTGCTCCGGCGTCAGCAGCGCCCGC